GTTCCAATGATTCTTGTGCTTCAGTATATTCGATCGTTCCCCCTTTCCTCTTTCCCTTTCCTCTCAAGATTCTTGTGCTTCAGTATATTCTATCTGGGTTTTTAACAGATCTTGCTCTTGTGTTTAGTGAGTTTTATATAGGTTTTGTGTTTGGTTGCTCGGTGTTTGTTATTGAATCGAAAACTCATGAGAGAAGGATGGTTGGTGTTTTTGGCTTAATTTGATGTTGTTGATTTATATTATGTTTTAATCTTGCTATGGTTTGTGGTCTGGAATTTTCTTCTTCTCTTTCTTTTTTTTCAATTGCTTGTCTTTCTTTCTGCTTCCTTGGAACCCCAGGGTTTCGAATCCAATGGTAGAAAATTAAAAAAATTTCTTTTTTTTGTTTTGTTTGTGAGTTTTGTTATTTGATGATGATGATGAAGCCACAAGGGTAGAGATTAGAGGAGATGTTTGGATTTGCAGAAGTTGAAGAAAGAGAAAGGAAAAGAGGAAAGGGAGGAAGAAAAAAAAAATTTGTTGGAAAGGATCAAAGTTGGACTTGTTGACATGTAAAAAAAGGTCTAAGTTGGTGCTAACATGTAAATTTATAACGAAAATAACGATACACATGTAGCATGTGATCGTTTGGCGTTAAATTTTGCCTTATTTCCCCAAATTAAAAATTACGAAGGGTAAAAATTCATATATTGAAATATAAGGGGTAGAACGCCTCAAATTCAAAATCTTTAAGGGCAAATGGGTACCTTTTGCCACTCCCTAACAAGTCTTTTTTTATAATTATTATTTTAACGGACTCCCTAACAACTCTAATATTTCAAAAATCAAGATTTTTGATAAAGCGAAATAACAATGCCTTGCACATATTAAAGTCGAGATTATGAAACATAAAAAACCAAGATTTTGTTGTTTTCTTAAGTGCATTCCCTTGGGTTCAATGAGTGAAGCCCAACTAGCATAGACCAACAGCGAGGTGACTACTGGAAGTCTGGAAGGACTAGGGAATTTGTCCTTAAGGACTCGTTCCTCATTCCATGCCTCAACAAAATGTAGAGATGAGTCACATGCGATGAGAATGATAGAACAACGAAGAAGAAGATATGAAGCATTAAGGTGTTCTAACAAACAAGGAATTATTGTAAATTAACCAAGATACAATGTTGAAATTAAAAAAGCCACTAGTAGTGGATGATGCTCACCACTCCAAACTTAATTAAGGCAGTCATCCAAGACCATGAGTCATTTTCCTCCTTGAAAAAAGGTAGCATTTGGATAGTACAACAGTTTTTGTCTGAATAATCATCCCCGTTTGCTATGGCTAGTTTAAAGCATCGTCAAAAGAACCAAATGCAACTGCAAGTGGCTTTCAAGGCCAGTTGAGAAACAAAACACAATTGCCATCACTCAGTTTCCATTGCTTTCTGGTGGTATTTTTCCAAGTCTGCATCAAGATCATCTGCAGATATCTTTTCACCACGACCTCTACCCTGTCCACGACCCCTCCTGGCTCCCCTGCCACCACCACGACCCCGTCCCATGCCTCCTCTTCCTTGGCCACTGTTACAGGGAATATCAGACAAATGTTATTTGAGACAAAATACAGGCAGAACTCCTTCACATTTTACCAACCAAAAGTATAGAAAGCAAAGCCTTATAGTTAACACTAATACCATACATTGAATATTTACTGACTGCCACAAATAATAAGGTTAAACAATTTAATTCCTGCAGTTATTTCAACCATGTTAATAGCGTTGATGACTCAATCTCTACCATTAATTCTTGTATGATGACATCTCAACTAATACTATGACATTATATTGGCTAGTGAAATTCAAAACACGATCACCACAAATTCCAGAACATTCATAAGTATGACTATCAAATCAATTAAAAATAGCAAACGCATGCAACCTAGCATGAGGAAAACATCTTTAAAATGCTAACCTTCTAGCAGCACCATTTTGATTTGAAAATGTGCCATTTGTAGCTGGAGGGAGAACAGCAGCAGGAGTTGCAATATTTGTCCCAACAATCTCAATTTTCATTGGCTTTCCATCTAACTGAACCCCATTGTATCTCTTGACAGCTGCCAAAGCATCTGTTCTTCGAGAAAATACAACTTCTGCAGTTCCCTGATAGATACAATTTCCACAATTATGGCAGGGCACAAAGAATTACTGAATTGACAGCACTACAGAATTGATTGACTACCTTTGATCTTCCACTCCTGTCGTAATGAATTGCATATCGTTTTAGGTCACCGACCTCTGCAAATAGCTCCTGTACAGAAGTATGTTCAAATTAATAAAAATATAACCTTGGCTTTGTAGTTTCTCCCACGACCAGTAAAGAATTTAAAGCATGCAATGATCAATTTAGAGTATAAAGGTCCCAGCTCTATAGAAAAATAATGGATCAAAATATTCAACGGAGCTTGACAGGGTCAAAAGAAAATTGATTCAAAAGTTTGTTTACCTATGGTCAGACCACTAGCAAAGGCAGGATTTAAGCATTAGGGAAACATCAGTCTAATACCTATTAAGAAAGCTGGGTAGTCTACTTAAAATTTTTTTAGGCTCCATATCTAGGCTGATGCCTCTCCAATAAGACATGTTGATGACTAACAAAATCATGACAGTTGTTCTTCCAAAAACCACATGCCATATACTTTAATATGATGCTAGGAGCTGATGCCTCTCCAAAAAGACATGTTGATGACTAACAAAATCATGACAGTTGTTCTTCCAAAAACCACATGCCATATACTTTAGTGTGATGTTAATCACTTGAAGAATAGGAGTTTTGAAGATCATAAAATGAATGCAATATGAAAGGAGCCAGATGTATGATTTGTTAACAAAAATGCGACTCCCGTCATGCATACAAAAATGAACTGTCATTCAAGGAAATCAAAAAATTTACTACCTTTTGCAGATAATAAACTAACATAATCCAGTTGCGAGCTGACGTCACTTAACGGTCTTAACCTCCTTTTCTATATTAAGAGAAATAACCTTTAATGTTTCCAATTGTTTTAAGTATGCTTTATCTTGAAACTTCTTTTCATTTTAGCAGGCTAAATTCTACCTTACAATGAGAAGATAAACCATTCATGATAGACCCAATGAAAGGAGCACAGATTAATGATAACAGTCAAGTAGATGAACTGATTTAAGGAGTCCACAAATCCTGTGCTAAAACTCAATTGAATTATGGATCTACTCATGTGCTTGAACTACATGACCAGTAAGATCAATATTTTCTATAATATGCTGAGTCTTTTTCATTGTAGCAGCAACTTGTTGTACAGATAGTTTCATGGATAAATACAAATTTTCACATTTTATCCCAAAAAAAAAAAATCAATATTTTCAAAGCAAAAGAAAAAGAAAATCCATCTGACCTTGATATCTTCATTAGAAACACCATAATCCAAGTTTGAAATGTAAAGCTTGGTCCCAGTCTCTATGGAAGAAGCTCGAGGAGCCGATGCCGGGAAAACTGCACCATCATCAACGAACATATCGTGCTGCCAAGCTGCATCAGGAGCTTGAACCGGCTGTTTTAATTTCCACGATTGCAACAACGAAGAAACTTTAAAAATCAGCAATCAAATCTAGGAATTAGAAAAACACAAATCTGGAACAAAACAAAGCAATTGGATGAGATAAATTACTGACCTTCGAGTACGGCGCTGCTCGATTGGCTGCGCGATTTCGAAAGCGACGCGAGGGTCCGGGGGCCGAGTTTCGAGGAGGCCGGCCACCCCTGGTCTTTCCGGCGCCTTTCTTGTTGGATTTGATGAGGTCGTCAAGAGACATGTCAAGTGGGTCCGCCATGTCTATTGAAGTTGGAGAAGCCCAATCTCAGAGGAAGAGGATTGGGATTTTGCCTTTGAGTTTTAGAGGATGAGGAAGAATACAAGTGCTAGGGTTTTGCTTCGTTAGCCCAACAAGGCAAGAAGGCAAGAAGGAAAATGATAGGTGAGTGTCTGGAAGGTTAGGGGCTGTTTGGTCGTTCCAAAACTTCATTTTTTTATTTACTGTATGTATTTTTATATATTAATATTACAAAAGTAAAAATAAAATTTTTAATTCCACATACAATCCATAATTTATAAATTTTTTTTCCTTATATCTTTGAAAGGAAAAAAAAAATCCTTCAATTTTTCCCATACAAGTTCTATTTTATAATTTTTTTATTAATTTTTTATATACTATTAATTTTTTTACCAAATATAATTAATATCCCCACAAATATTTAACAAAACTTCACAAACCGTGTTTATAAGGCAGAAGGTGCAATTCAGCCCCTGTACTTGCAATATCGTGGCAGATCAACTCCTGTACTAGAAACACTAGCAAATCAGCCCCTCTACTATATAAAATCTGCAAATCACCCCTTCTGTTAAGGATGACGTTACAAAATGTCATCTTTCCGTTTGATTTTTGTGGCCCGTTAACAAAAGATGATGATTGGGCAATGACATGGTATTGACTTAAAAAAAAACCACCTGACTTGGGAAAAAAAAAATTTTTTGAGTTTTTTTTTTTTTACTTTTACGTATTTAAATATAAGGATTTTTTAACTTGTATCATAAAAGTACACGTTAAGTTTTATTTATTATAGTATTTGTAATTAATTTTATGCATAATTTTATAGAATATTCAAATATAATATAATATATAATATAAAAAATAATATAATATAATATTTTACCTTAAAATTTGTAAAAAATAATGAATCTGAATAAAAATTTGTGTAAAATTAATTTAAAATACCTTAATTAATGAGAACGGCACATGGACGTAAATCTTTCTTTTGATTTTTCTGCTTTTTGTTTCATATATTTAAGGGTTTAAGCATAGGTTAGACAACCCCTTAAACATATAAAACAAAAAATAGAAAAATCAAAAGAAAAATTGCATCCCTATGCCCTTCTCATTAATTTGGGTATTTTTAATTAATTCTACATAAATTTTCATATTAAATTTATTACTTTTTATAATTTTTAGATAAAATATTATATTTTATTATATTATATTTTTATATATTATATTATATATATTTGAATCTTGTATAAAATTAATTATAAATATTATAATAAATGAGGGTTAACTTGTGGCATTAAAGCACATGTTAAAAAACCCTTATGTTTAAATATGTAAGAGTGAAAAAAAAAATTCTTGAAAATATTTTTTCCCCAAGACAGGTGGTTTTTTTAAGGTTAAATACCCTTTTTGGTCCCTCTACTATAGGAAAAAGCCCCTTTTTAGTCCCTGTACCGAAAAAATCCCTTTTTTGGTCCTTACTGTTCACAAATCCGGCCCCTTTTTAGTCCCTCCGTTAAT